CGTCGCCTCTCGCCATCCGTCTCTGCCAACTTGTCATCTCACACCTTTCTCTGTCATCTCCTCGCCCGGCCCTCCGTCCCCCCCTCATCATTCATCTTTTTTTTTTTTCCCCTCAATTTTTGACTGCCACTCTCTGTCCCTCTGTCATTTCAATCCGTCTTTCTTTCCTGGCTGCCCCACGCCTGTGCGACTCAGACACAATGGAGGGATTCAGCTCCTACTATGGACTTGTTTACATGCATGATTCCTTCAGCGCTTCGGATCAAGTGCGAGAGTACACTTGTGTGTTCGAGTGGGAGAGGGGAGAAAAAGACAGGCAGTGCGTGGTGCTGTGCAATGCTTTACCGTTATCCATAAGCGTCTTTTATAATATAATGCTTTATAATTCAAAGTCAAGATCAAGATGCTTTTTTTTTTTTAATGTCTTGGCATCATCTTCGTTGATTACTATGTTGTTTATGCTAAGCACTTCCAAGAAGTCATTTGGAAATCAGACAATGTCGCCGACACTGTCATGTCTTTTTTTTCTTGTTGTGTTTGATTTTCTTTGCTTGCTCGGTGCAGAAAGTGTACTTACACTCTCTATGAACCGCATGTGTGCTGCAAGTACCACCTGCACCACTTCCTGTGCATGCTAGGAGTTGCAAAAAAAAAAGTGTTTGTCAGCAATTATGAATTTGATGTGGCATATTTAAATCGGAAATGTTGCTCATTTTATTCATTAGAATAGATCAAACCTATAATAAATAAAGTGTTGATTGATGAAGGGTGGGTACACATAACTGAATACTTCTATCCAAACAGATGTATAATAGTTAAAAGCTGTCTTTATATGAGGAGTTATGATCAAATACCACACATTAATGTATCCTTGAATGTCTCTATGGCTGCGTGCATTATAGCCATAAAGACATTAAATGCATATATGCTATTAATAAAAGCTAAACTGGAGGAAGGGCTAAAGTGAAGCAACATTTTTAGGGGCACAAGACCAACTTATACATCTTGTACAGCAGAGAATTAAGGACTTAATGCAACTCCATCAGTGACTTGGGGGGGAAAAAATAGGTCAACTAGAAGCAGGCAGGCAAAGTGGAGGAGAGGGGTGGGAGGGAGAGGGGCATTTCTCAGCGACAGACTGCCATACAGTATATAGACTATTCATGAATAAGCTCTGTGTAAGCCTTGGGCACTGCTGTGGCCCCGTTACTATGGCGTCCATGCTGAGGGGCCGTGGAATGTGGCCTTACTGGGCAACAGGGACGGAGAGGGAGGGGAGACGGAGAAGCGACGGAGAAGCTCTTTGCCTCAGACTACTTTAGTCACTGGTCACATCTCCACCTTTAGCCCGAGCTCAGCCTCTGCCGTTTTCTGTCTCCCTCGTTGTCCCTCTTTGTCTTGCCGTCTTTCCCTCTCTCTCTCTGAACCCGGCCTTCTGAACCCTCTGACCATGTCACCGTCCCTTCATCCTCACCTGCTCTCGCTTTCATCTCAGATCTCACACCTGAGTCCCCGCGCAGCACATTCGCCTATTGCCAGTATATGTGTGTGTGTGTGTGTGTGTGTGTTAGTGTGCAGAGCTGTGGCTGTACGTCCTGCTGCTTCGCCATCTGTTGCTCTCGTCAGCTGACTGAATGAGGCCCGGTGCTTCTGACGCCTCTGACCCGTGTGTGTGTGTTCGCATCGCTTTACATAAAAACCACTGTCTGTATAAAAAGAAAAAAAAGAAGGCAGCGTTTCGACCTTGCTCGGTCTTTTGGCTGTCATTGCGAGTCACGCCGAGATGGGTAACAGCGGTGACGTCTCCGTGCCCGCCTCTCCCACTATAAGTCTGGCCTTTTTTCCCCATTACTTGAGTGGAATCTGCATCTATACAGGTGCCGCCAGGGTTGATGAGCGACACCGGAAAATGTCGCAGGGAGCCGGCGAGGCATACGAAAGCAGAGAGAGAGAAAAAGTGCAGAGACAGCAAACATGAAAAGCCACTTCTCTCTCTCTCTTCGCCCGGCTTCCAACTCGGTTCTGTCTTTCTATTTTGTATCAGCATGTGTCTGTCTGGGTGATGGTCAGAGCAAGTTTCAGGCCTCTTGGACCTCCCCCCCTCTTCACACAAAAACACAATGCCCCATCATCGCCACCAATGCCAGCATTATCCTCACCCACCGCCCCCCCCCTCCCCCTCCAGCTCCCCACCTCGTCACAGCCAGCTGACCTACTTCCCGTCTAGCCAGTCCAGTGGTTGACTGTACACTCATCTTGGACTGTGTGTTTTTGTGCATCCATTTAACCGCCGTAAATAGACGCAGCTTGTTCAGAGGATCTCGGTTTCCTCAAAGACGTCTCCGCTAACTCTTGTTTGCCTTCGATTTTGCCTCGTCATCGTGTGAAATATCTGCCAACAAGTTGTGAAACATGTTTGCGGAGGAAAGAGAACACAAAAAAAATGACAGGTCTGTCTGACGGCTGCTTCCAATTGTTACACTACGCGCTCTTATTATGAAGGTTCTACAATCAGCGTAGTGTGAAAGAGGCCATTAACACCCGGTTTTAATTCCTTTAAAGATTCTTTTTAATCTGCTCTCTTCTATTCTGGCTTGTGTTGTGAGGAAATTTTTTGGCATTATCCAGGATTTAGCCAGCGCCAAATGACACTCATAATGGCCCAAATGTTCAAAAATTGAGAATAAAGGAAAAACTGAACCTGTTTTGCTGATTGGGGGTTCAATTGCTCACACATGACAGACATTTGTGTTGAGGAAAACTCACTGACTTTATGATACACAGACTAATCATGTTCTACTTTGCATAGTCACATTGTGCTGTGAGGAATTTTTGACAGCATCCAGGAACTAGCCAGTACCAAGGCAACTCAGAATCATCAGAAATTAAACAAAATGAACCTGTTTTGTTAATTGGGGTTTCATTTCCTCAAGTGTAACAGACATTTTTGTTCTTTAAACGATCTGAAATCCCTCCAAAAAGTATAGATTTCTATCAAATAAGGTAGCACATCTTCACTGACTTTATGACACACAGACTGATCATGTTTACTGTCCTGCGTCGCGTAGTCACATTGTGCTGTGAGGCATTTTTGACATCATCCAGCAACTAGCCAGTACCAAAGAAACTCATAATCATCAGAAAAGAAAAAAATTAACCTGTTTTGTTAATTCGGGTTTCATTTCCTCGAGTGTAACAGACATTTTTGTTCTCTGAAATCCCAAAAGAAAGGTATAGATTTCTGCCAAATAAGGTAGCCCAGCTTCATAGGCTTTCCAGTGCACAGACTGATCATGTTTACTGTGCTGCTGCGCATAGTCACCCCCTCCGAAAAAGCCCATTCCCAGCCAGAAAATTCCCTTTAAACTTCCAAATCAAAGACTAGACGTTTTAATAGCCGCACCCGTTCCATCAAACGGCTGAGATAAAGTCCAAAAAAAAGTTAGAAAGAACTCCATTTAGGATGTTTCTCTTCCTGATAATGAGCCACAACACACAAATAGGCAAGAAAATGAAAGAGGAGTCAAATGATCCCCAGTGATGAGATTACTCACATTATTTACTGTACGTGCCTTTCAAATGCACAAGAATGCCATGTACCAACAACCATGTGATCATCTGTGCGTCCTTGTAGCCTGGACTCTGAGTCACAGCCAGAGACGAGCGCTTTAACATCAAGCCTCTGAGAGAACAGGACATACATGGGCTGACTCCCAATGCACAGAGTCTTCCTCATTCCTCCTCATCCCTCCTGTCTCCTTCGTTCTTTTCCTCCCTCTCCATTCTGTATTTCAACACAACACAACCTAAAAAGTAGTAGATTTTTTTTATTTTGTTGTCGATTCACCTCCACAGTGAACATTACTCCTGGAGGTGGGCACAGAGAGATAATGCCAAGAGACAGAGCGGCTGGCAGATAGACGGGGAGGTGCATTCAGTCAGTCAGACAGACAAGATGTTGGGGGGAAAAAAAACAGGCGATAAAATTGATAGAAAAAAAAAAAGAAGAAGGGGAACGGCAGGTGGATGGCTGAGCGGTTGTGACTGGATCGGAGCAAGCAAACCTGAAGGAAGGGAAAGAGGCAGAGGGCAAAATAAGGGTATAAAAGACGAGGGTGTAATCAGACGAGAAAGCAGGTGAATGCGGGCGGACGTACAGCAACTGCATTGTGAGAGAGAGAGAGAGAGGAAGAAGATGTGTGTGTGTGGCTTTTGTTTCTCAAAGCAGCAAACAGGTCTCATGTGCAGCATCCTTTTACTTGCATGCAGCTGACTATCAGCTTGGCAGACACCCACACACACACGTTAGAAACACACACTCAGAACACACAATGCCCAGCCAAGTGAGAACATGGGTATCCACGCATAAGGCTGTTTGCGAGAATGTGTGCCTTTTATGTGTGTGTGTGTGTGCAGCACATACCGGATGAACAAAAGAGCTGGCTATTGCAGCATGCACGGCTTCAGCTCTGATTGCGAGTAAGTGACTACAGGTAGGTGAAAGACACGTTGGAGAAAGAATGACAGCAAGAAGAGTGTAAGAAGAAAAAAAAAAGGGGGTGAAATTCTGGGTTTTTTATTTCCCACTCTTGAGCCAACAGTGTGTGTGTGATGGAAATAGGTTACTGTGAGGATGATGAGACTATAATAGGGTGGCCCAGTGGGGAGAAAGAATAAAAACACACACAAACCCCCCTTTTCCCATGTATCCAGGTCAGCAAAAATCACAGCTCCAACCTCACACAGCATCCCTGCTGCTGACTTGAATGAAGATGAGGCCAGCTGTCACGTTAGTTAACGTCTATATATAATTTGATCTATAATCTGACACATTGTGCTCGGCCCTTGTCTCCCACACATCCGCCTTTTGCAGCCTTTTTTTTTTTTTTTGCTGCTCTCCTGCCGGTTTGTTATTCAGGGAGCAGTGTCAGGTGCAAAAAAAAAAAAAACAGGAAGGAGGACACATTTTTCATTCAAATTAGAAAATCACATCTTCTTACCCTCAGAGCTGATAGGTCGATTTCATCCAGACTCCGAGCTGGAGAGTCACTCGCCATGATGGAGGACACACACACCAAAAAAAAGCCACTCTCTGTTGTCCGATATCCTGAAACGGCCTCTGCTGTCACGACTGTGTGGTCTCTCGGTCTCTACTTGTGTCCCCCTCCAACCTCCTCCACCTCCTCCACCACCACCTCCTCCTCCTCCTCCTCGCTCTCCTTCACGGCGATGTCAAAATAATATCAGTCTCTCTTTGCCCCCCCCTCTCTCTCCTCCTCCTCCCCACCGTCCCTCCACCTTCACCTCTCCTCGGTCACTGAGCGGGACGCGCGTCGGGGCCCTGGGAGCGCACGGCTAGAGCGCAAACGCGTGGAGGATGGAAAGCGCCGCGCACATCAGCACTTCCAGGTCCATGTCGTCTGCGGAGATTGTGAGACGAGTGCGGAGAGAGGAAATACAAAAAAGGAGGAGGAAAAAAAAAAAAAAAAGGTGAAGCGCGCTGCGGAGAGTGTGAGAGGATTTGCTTCTGGGTAAAAAAGCCGCTCGCTGTGACAGGCAGCCAGTAAATATAGAGGAGGAGGAGGAGGAGGAGGAGGAGGAGGGAGGTGGGAGCACGCTGCTGCTCCTCAGCAGACCACGCCTGTTACCGGGCGGGGTTTGCAGAAGGGACTCCCAAACTTTTTTTTTTTTTTCTCCTCCCCTCCTTCCCAATGACCCACATGCTTTAAAGTAACACCTTTTTTCTTCATTGAGGTTTATAAGTAGAGTTGTTGGGATCATTAGAGGTAATAATGACACTGATTTATATGTTTTATGAATAATCTCAGACAATAAACGTGATTTGTGTTTTTTGGTTGTTTTTCATTTCATCTCTGAGGGAAAAAAAGGAAAAATGACAACCATAAAAATGTCTGTACGTAACAAATAAAAAGAAAAATCAGATGCATCTCAATAAAACAAGGCAAACTACAATATGAGGTTAAGTGATGCCGCCTATTTCTGTTTTCATTCTTTATTATAGTTATTTTGTTGTCTATTTTTTATCATCTAATTGTTTCTTTCTTTGTTTGTTTTACTTTATTTATCTTATTGTTCATTTTATTCCCTTGTATCTTTACTTATTTATTTATTTGTTTATTCATTTTACTAATTTACTACAATTATTTTCACGTTCAGCCTTGTGTTAATGATCTTACCCTCTATTTTTTATTTATTTTTTAATTCTACTTGCTCTTACTTGGATGTGGCATTTTATTATTTAATCTGGTGTTGCTGTACTCATTTATTTTGAAAATCTTTCACCATGTTCGGACTGAGCAGTCTTCTGTTGGTCAGTGAGTATCCTTCTTTTCTTTTGTAAACTCTCTTCTTAAAATATGCTTTATAAATAAAGTTATTTTTTACTAATAAAACAGATACTTGTTCTTTTAAACTATCCAAAAAACAAAACAAA